TACAAATTGATCTGAGTGTTTGTCTTTGCAATGTAATGATTCATTGCGTACACATCCTTCAGTCCAATCAGATGAGTTCCATGCTTGATGGGACTTTGGACTGAATGCACGGTGGCGATTTTGTGGCAATGCAATTGACGTAAGCTACATAAGGACTATATAAGTGTCACAATAATCCCCTGGGAACGTTAAAGTTTTCTCCCGAGTTTGAGAACCTTTGTCCCAAATAAAGCCATTATAAGTATAACTGGTTTGATTTATTACTCCTCTTGTTAGGAAAGAAATATTCTTCAAGATAAACGTGTAGAACAATTCATCTCTAGCCTACCACTAAGCAATTACCAACAGAAAATATATTTTCCCTTTCTTTCTTGTCTTTCTATCTATCGCTCTTTCTTTTTAGCTGATTTTCTTTCTTCCATGCTTCTTTTTTTCTTTCTTGATCTTTCTTACTTGCTTCCTTTCTTTTCTGTCTTCCCATTATTTTTGTTTTCTTTCTTCCTTTCTTCTTTCTGTTTTTGATCTTTTTGTTCTCTTTTTTTTCCCTTTCCTTTCTTTTTTTCTTTCTTAATTTATTCTCTTCTTGGTAAATGAATTAGGAAATGTTGTGTTTTTTGTTCATTTTCTTTAAAATTTAGATAGACATAGATGCTCCTTAAATAACGCTGTTGCCAGATCTGTTTTTTTTTTCCCCTTAAAATATTGGTGTATAATGTTAAATAATATATATATATATATATATATATATATATATATATATGTTTGTAGTATGTATATCAAATATTAATATTTTTATTATAAAAAAATGCTTATTAATAAATTAATTTTGATATTTAGCCCCTGCTATAATATATATTTTAAAAAAATAATAAGTTATTGGCACGGACATTTTAAATTTATATTAATAATATTTATTATTAATAAATAATTTTATTAGTGTAAAATATTAATATCATATATATAATATAGAAACACTAATATACTGTATTATTTATTAACATAGACCTATAAAATTTTTATCAATCATTTAATTTTTATTAAACAAGAAAAGTTGTTCTAACATTTAATAATTTAATAAATAATCTTTTTTAGTAGGATTTAATTTATAATTACAACATCAATCCTTTGGTCACGTGCTTTCTGCTTTCGGATCATCTCACAGTCAGACATCAACTTGGATTCAGAATCATGGCCCAATACTAATAAATGCGGATTGGTTACGTGACAGGGTAATTTTTGTGTTGAAATGGTGTGAATCATTGCACTTGTACTGTTAGCAATTTTCGCTTATTTTGATCAAGCAGTTACTTTCAGAACATCTAATCATACATAAATTATTAATGTTAAATTTAAGTAAATTTAACCCCAATCATTAAGATATACATAGAGAGAGAGACACACATCAAGATAATGACAGGGTCTATACTCGACGATGGCTGTTATTGCTTTCACAATTGGACTGGGCTAGCTTCTCCATTGTTGAGCAGAGAAAAAACAAAACAAAAGAAATAGCTACATATTAATATGCATAAGTAAAACAATTTTTAAGTATATATTCTGTGATATGTATAAATAATTGAGAATTTTATATATGCAATAGAATGAAATGATTATTCCATACCATAGGTGATTTACTCATACAGGGTGATGTTATTGAAATTTTGAGATATATTCTGAGAATCATGAGATTTTCTATGCACGAGATACCCGTAATTTTTATAAAGGAAATGAAGTCGAGTCAAACGATAACCTAAACACTAGAGTTAAGGGAACAAGATCTAGTCAGTATTAGGTCCATAATAATTAGATCATGGACACAAGTGTGTGGGGCACGCACGTGTTCAGGGTGGTGAAACTGTGGATACAGAGTGAGCGTGTGCATGTGCGTGGGGTTGCACGATGTGCAGGATGGTGAGACTAATTTTAGTGTTTGTGCCCGCTCACGTGTGCAAAGTTGAGTCTATAATGTCGTCTCTCTGTATTCGAGTGTGCATGTATAATAATACTGTGAAATTACAACAAACTCTTTGACATATTTTTTTTAATATATTTTTAATATAAAATTAAAATTTATTAAAATTACAAAATTATATAAATTTTATTCTTTTATTATTTTTAAATAATATTATTCTTTTATACTTTTTAATTTTCAATAAATTTTAATTAACTATAAAAAACATGTCAGAGAAAGCTAGTTAAAGAGTATGTTATTAATAATTTTCAAAATACACGTGATTTATAAATATTATATTATTCTTTTTTATTACTATAAAAAATATTATTTAATTTATTTAACATTATATAAATTTACTAATTTACTTTTTATTTTTATTTGTACTATGCTAGTTCGTAAAATATTTTCATGCTCAAACTTTTTAATGTTAAAAGTATAAATTATTTATATTTTATATGTTTTTATCAAAGGTGAAATTTTTTCCTTTTTTTTTCACAATTTAAGATTGAGACTTTAAAACTTTTATGACAATATTTTTCTTTTTTATTATTTAAGGTTAAGACAAGCCTTTAAAATTCTTATAACAATAATAAGTACTTACTATTTTATGAAAAGCACTTTCAACTTGTTAAATTTTTAAAAAAAAATTAATTTATTAAAAGAGTACTTTGATAAAAAGATGTCAAACAAATGTTAATGGTAATTTGATGAAAAACTTAAAATCTATTAATTGTAATGCATGTTAATGTTTTAAAAAAAGATAGTTATAGATAATTATGATATTTTAAAATGTGTAATATATATATATATATATATATATATATATATATATAGAGAGAGAGAGAGAGAGAGAGAGAGAGAGAGGAAGAGAGATTGTCTTTCATGTGAAATAATAAAAAATACTTTTTTTATCTGAATTATATAAGAAAAGACTTGTTTTTATATTATTAATTACTATTTAATATTTTATTATATAATTTATGCTAACAAAATATTTAATTATCTTTTATTTAATTATTTAATATTGTGAATTTTTTAAAATAAAATTTAAATTTATGATATATAATAATTTTTTAATTAATTAATTATTTCTTTATAAAATATATTTAAAGTAATATACTATTCTAATAAACCAAAAAATTGAACCCAATTATTAGATAATTGAATTTCTTATCCATCTTGAAAGTAAATATAATTCTATTGATGACTTAAAAAAGAAATAGACAAATATTAGTAACACATTCTTTAATATTAATTAAAATATTAAAAATTATTAAAAATAAAATTCATATAATTTTAAATATATTTTAATTAACAACAAAAGATATATTACAAGCATTATCAGCTTTACTCGTAAATAACCCAATTGAATCATGTTTCCATATATTGTCTCCTTCCTTCCATGAAGCATTAGTTTAAAATCTACTTTCAAAATATGTAACGTGGGCCCAAGATTTGAAGCAAAGCCTACATAGCTCCCTAGTCAGTGGAACACATTATAAAATCTTATCCATGCACAATTCGGAACAAATTAACCTCATCTTCATGTCAACTTTGTGTGGCTTGGAAACATATAAATATTTTCGAGCAATAGAATATGGAAAATATTTCAATAAGATAGAATCGGATGGCCACACGCCTTTACAGATAAAATATATTTTTTAAATTAACTTCTGAAAATAAACTAAACTTAAGTTTTAACATAATATTGAAATTTATTTAGTTTCAACGTTGAGTCACGTAAAAATGTCAAATTTTACAGAACAAATATTTAATCTTATGCATAAAAAAGAAAAATGTGTTAAGATACTGATATTATATATTAGTTTTACTGTTGTTTTAGGCCTGGTATCCCTGGTTAGGCACTTACGTAGGGACTTTTTAAGTGGAGTTGTACGGTTTAATTTTGAGCCAATAATTGAATAGAATTGGTTTAGAGATTTGTCCTTGCTAATGACCAATTGGGGAATGCATTGTGTCTGCGCTGATAATGTTGTTCTATAGTAACCAAGTTGGATCTGTGTCAGTGCCAAGTAATTCTTGAGTAGGATGGAGGATTATTCTAGAGGCCAGTTATGTAGCATCAATCAAAGTGGGCTGACACCAAACTTCTCTTTTCTGTCCATCTATAGAGCATTGAGTCACCCCATCTTTACCAACCCATTTGTCAAACCTAACTACTTATTTTAACATTTTCATTAATTTATTTTGTCCCTTTCAATTTCCCTATTTCAATGGGATCCTTAAATCCTCAATTATGGGTCTCATCTATGTCATAATAACGGTTTTTGTTCACATCAAATACTCGTATCGTATTAACCTACCTATCTATTTTCTTTTGGAATTGGCGTATTATAATATGCTCCTAAGTAATTTCTCTTTTCTTTTCTTGTCCCCTAAAGCAATGACAAAACTTGCAAGGTCCAAATTCTTATATTCTTCTCATGCATATATTAATATTAAATTATCATATTTATATTAATTATCGCTATTAAGCTGGATATTAAATAGTTTCACATTTAACAAATTCAAATAGGAATATATAAATCTCACAATTAATTAGCATGCATAATCAAGATACGAACTTTTACCATTAAAAGTACAAATATTTTTGTAAATGTGTAAAAACTATTGAGTTAGTAAATGGTCAACTTATTCTAAAGTTGTGAATTGATAATAATTAGGGGAAATCAATGGGATAGAAAGTTTATTTAACGTAATTTTTTGTATTATATATAACTTTATTATAATTTCTTCATAAGAATCTTTTTTCTACTGATTATGGGTGTCAACTGCCACTTCAGTTATTTGAATTTGTGGTCATACTTTCACCTAATTAACCTTTCTCTAAGTTATGTGCTGTCTAATAGTATATAATTTTCACATTGAAGTATGTATGTTTAAATAAACACACAACAATATTACAACAATTTATGTCATAAATAAGGCTTGCTGACAAAGTCATGTTTAAAATGTTCAAGTTCTTGCTCCCTCATAATTTTGGTTCGTGTTGTTCGGTGTTCTGCCAGACTTCCAGCATCTATTGAATTCCATTTATCATATTTCCCAATAATTTATTGCATAAATCGAACAATCATGTACCATTGAATTTAAATGGCCTCAGTTAAAATTTCATATTTTCCTTTCAGATATGGCCATGTATTTCCTGTTTCTTTTTTTTTTTTTTTCCCTCCAAGTACATGTGATTCATAAATATAATTAAGTGACACAAACCCGTTCCCACGAAAAGAAAGCAAGTAATGGAACATGGACTAGGTAACTATGACTTAAATTATGAAGACATTCACTGGCGCACTAGGTGTGATGACTAAGTAAATATTTTCCTCTCTTTTCTTGGGTAAATGAAACGAACATAAAACCCAAAATCCAAGAAGAAACAGTTGAAATCCTTGAACCTAGGTCGTCGACATTGTCTGGATCACGAGTTGCAGTTACTACGAATTGTCACATTCTTTTCCATGTTCCCCTTTTCCACGTCCCCCATTTCTATGTCAACTTTCTCTACGCTCCCCTTCTGCAGTTCCACCTTATTTGGTTCTTCCATCACTCGCCTCTTCCAATATTTGCAGTGGAGAACGAGCTGGAGTATGCCTAAGGGAGTTCCAATCACACTTGGTCCCTGTCACATATGGAGCATTAACACAATATCACTGTCTTGTCCACAGTATTTTCATAAGATATGTTAAACTTATAATATAATCCATATTATGAGATAGATAGATACAGACCGCAACGAATATATCCCGAATGAGGAGTCCGTAAGTCAGCCACAGTACACTAGCCAAGAATGAGCACAAAGATAAAGGTAGTGGCATGAATTCCACACTCTTGGTTTGTATCACTTTCCTCTGCGGTTTAGTCAAAATTAAATTATGTAACGCAAGGTTCATGTCCAGAAAAATAACACAACGGTGCAGAAACATGTGAAGGGAATTTTCCCTTTATTGTTTTTAACATGGATTATTTGTCATGGAATTACTCTGTTCACCTATTTTGTTTTTTTACACTTCTCTGTTTCGTTTTAACTGAAAGGAAGATCATGATTAAAAAGTTTTAGTAGAAGACAAATTTGACTCACCATTACTACCAAAGGGGATGCATACATTGCAACTGAAACACCCAAGCCTATGCTACCCACGAGAAGCTTTCGGTGACCATGATCAATGAAGGCAAAAGCTGATGCAATGGCAATGGCGCAAAACACTAGAAGAACCGGTACTACTGTCATGGCTACCTTCACCTGTAAAATTTGTGCGAATCAGAATCCACTTATGTAAAGCATGCAAGGTGGTAAAGAGGGGAACGGTTACTTTCCACAGCAAGTGATGCAGGACATATAAAAATTATTTACATGCACAAATCCATGCTTCTTAAGTCACGTGTTTCCTTACCTAATTTCCATTATTTTATTGTTTTGATAGTACAATATTTTTTTCCTTAGACTGAGCTGAGGAAGAAATTGTAAGTTCGTAATTGAAGTTAATATTTGACCATTCCCTTTGTTTTTGGAAGAAATTCTATATAATGAGAATTTCCATGCATGTATCATTGATGCGGCTTGAGTTTTAAACAAGGTGCATGAAGAGAAGAATTTGGGCTTACAAGAGGGTGTTATAGAACCTCCCCCCGACACACACACATGGATATATTAATAATAACTTGCCTTTTCTTTGGCCGTAGAAAACCAAAAATAAATGAGAAGGTAGGATAGCTCAAAAGCAATCCCAACTCCATTAACTGTGACTAGAGGGAAATTTTCCCACTTGTAGCTTATAACTGGCAATCCATACCAAGTGAAAAGGAGACAGTTCAATAGTGCTATTATGTAAGGAATGCAAGAAAACTCCTCTGTGCTTTTCTTCCTTATGACCCTTTTGAAGGTAACCCTGCACAAGCAAATGGTGAGAAAAGGTCAACGCTTCGTGGTTTGCAAAGAGATGAAGATGAAAGCAACAATGGAATGATAGATTTTAACATACGTTGGTGCAGCATAAAGGGACACTGAAGCAACATTCCCTGCAAGAAACACCCAAACGGGTCACTTTTTGTTGAAGACTGATAGTAATGAGTAATGCTCAATAATGCTAAGAAGCTAGCTAAGGAATGAATGAACAAAGAAGTACCAATAACAGCAACAACCATACGAAGGGTCTCTGCCATGTTAGTTGGTGCTTTACTCTTTATGAGATAATATGAAGATTGAATGTGCCACTGAAGAGACCCTCGAGGATTCGCTATTTATAAGACTTTGAGGGTACTGCTCAACGCCAAGTGGCAGTTAAAATATTGCGGTAAAATGAGAATATGAAAACAGAATATAAGGGGAAAAAAAATGGAAAACAAAAAGAAGAGAGAGAAAGATAGAGGAAGTGTTGTCTGTGTCTTTAATAAACTTGTGGACGCAAAACTTTGATCAAATTGAGAAGCTTTTTTCTCAACTTGCTCGATACTATAGGCTAAACGAAAATTCCTGTTTTAGGGGCTAATATTATGGTACAGGAAGGATACACATTTGCTACTAACTTTGTTGAGAGTGGTAGATGGCACTAGAGATTTGCACCATCCGTTTATGACAAATTTCCTGCGTGTCACTTGAAATTTCATGTCATCTAGAATATGTTGGCTATGTTCCTTCTTTGTTTTTATGGGTATGATTTGATAAGTGCCTTCTGCTTTCCTGTTGGTAAAGCATTAATAATATCAATAATGCATTAAAAAACATTACTAAATGAAGTGCTTGGATTTTGATGATGTGGCTTCCATTTTCTAGAGATGTGGGAATTTATTGGCATGCTATGGATTAAGTTCATAGTGGAAACTATTGTTACAGGCTTTACCATGTTTAGAATGAAAACATTTTTTTTCATCTTCCTCTGAGTATTAAGCAAGCAACAAAAAAGATTTTCCTTTTTAAAATTTCCTCCATGGGGCAAAGTTTTTCATTTTCCATGTCAATGGGGTGTGACATTCTATTATTCTATCATTATTATCATACTTTTTTGTCTTCTACAGCAAACAAATATGTGAATCAGATGTAACAAGTCTAGTTATTAGCTAAACCATTCCAACGGGAACATCCAACAGAAAAGAAGATAATATTCAATATCAGATTGTACAATAACAGAATATAAATTTTATTATTCTCATTCACGCATCAGCGAGAATTCCTTGAACCTTTCAAAGAACAATTTCTAGTATGTGGAATATAAAACTCATCTGACCGAAAGGGTTTAGTGATTCGCAGTTAACCAACTCATTTGCTGAACACTATTCCAATTCACTGCTTCAAAAAGTGGGTTTATCTTAGATGATGATGGTGATGCCTCAAGATTAGGAAAGAAAGAATTATAATAACCACAAAATTAAGGAGGTGGAGATCTCTCTAGTTCAACATATATATACCCTCCTCATGTTCAATTCCAACCATATATATATATATATATATATATATATATATAAGGTTGTGATCTTATACTATGTCCCTTTTTTGTTGGTCATGTCAAATGTACCCTCTCATTTGCTAATGGCCTAAACAGTCTGTAAATTCAATATCCGCAACCCATAGCCCAGCAAAGGGTTTCTAATGCTTTCATGTATGTTTGGTTCCACATTTGTGATGCTGTTCGAGAAGGAGTGAAGAATATTATTCAATGACTTAGATAGGCTATGTCATAGCTGGCACCTCTGTTTATGCAAAAGATTCCCTCCAATTGCTTGTTTCAGTTGCAGCTAGCTACAGTGTCAAATTTACAGCACCGCTTTCCTTTTACTTGTACACAATGCCATTTTACGCTGTACGGGGCACGTAGGGACCACTAGACACCGCCGGCCTAAAGCCGGGCAGTTAAGGCAAGGAATTTAAACTCCCAACAAAAATTCTTTTAAGTAATAATATACTTTTAAAAAATTAAAATTATATTTAAAAATAATTTTTAATTAAAATATTCTAAATAATTATTAACTTTTTATTATTAATATAAATAATATTTAATAAATAGTAATTCTTAATCAATAAATAATAATCTTTTTTTAAAAAATAAATAATTATTAAATAGTAAAAGAAATTGAATAATTTTTTATTTCTTATTTAATTTTTACATCTTTCTTTTCTCTCTTTCTAACTACTTTCTACATCTTTACTGTATTTCAATTTGTGTCATTGTGTGTTTCTATTTAAAGTGGTGGAGAGAGTTAGTTTATTATCGGCAAACATTTAATTTGTTTTTTTTAATATGTTAGTTTAAGGTAAAATTATAAAAATTAAAAAATTAAAAATTATCATTTGTTGATGTATTTTGTTAGCATAGTCTTTAATAGAAGATTAATCTCAAAATAAGTTTATTTATTTTTTATGATTTTATAAATCTTAAAATAATTTGTGCAAGTTACAAAAAAGCATTAGAAATTAAAAATTAAATATAAACATTTATCAAAAGACAAATAGAGACATCAAAATAAGATATTATGATCAAATTTATTTTCTTGACAATAAGTTTTATTATTTTAATTTAGTCTTTTCTTATGTGTATTATATTCAATACTATGTATTAATTTCTAATTTTATATAAAAATATATAAATATATCAACTAGAAAATATGAATCAAGGTATTCAAAATTAAAAAAAAAAAGAATCGATACTTTAATTAAATCACAAAAAGAAGCTATAGATAAATTTATAAAAATAAACCAAAAAAACTAATTAGAAAATATAAATGGATACTCTTTGAATGAACAAGATAACAATATAGATAAGGTAAAAATAACAATAGAAAAATAATTAATAAAAAGAATAATTTTGATTTTCAAATTCAAGATAACAAGCAGGAAATTAAAAGATTAAATGATTTTATTCCTAAAAATTATACATGATTCAAGTCAATGAACAAATATAATTTTACATTACAAAAAATTTAAAAAATGAATTTTAAATAAAAGTATAATAATTTTAAAAATATTTTATTAATAAAAAAATTTATTCTTAAATGCTTTAAGTCCTATAAATTTAGGTCAATTAGCTAAATTAAGTTTTACGATGTTATGAAATTATAGTTGAAATTTTTTCGAGATCTTTGAAACAAAGTTAACATTAAAAATAGAATAGTTGTTGAAATAAAACTTTAATAGTAATTAAAAACAGTAAAAAAATATTTAAAATATTATGCTTAAGCTTTTGTTTTTAAATAATTTGTTCTTTGCCTTCTCAATTTTTTAGTTAAAGTGATAGCAAAAGGAACAACTGTAGGTGATTTCAATTGTATTATGTGTTGCCAAAAAAATATTGTAATTTAATTATAAGTCACGGAAAATGAAAAATAATTTTTTATTATCATTTAATCACCCCGTATGACAGTTTTAAAGAAAAATGATATTTAAGGCAAAATGTAAATTAAAATTTGACCGATTGATACAATATCTACACCATTCATTGTGAATTAATCCCGAACAAGGGGATTGCCTCTCTTATGCATATTCGGTGAGATCTATGGATGGATTGGCAACAACACACAGTATTTTATACCCTACAAAGTGATATCTATTAGAACATAGAATATATTCTTAACCCAAATAAAAGAAACATGGCTTGCGCGTACTGTTTGTTTTGTATGAGAAGCACAAAATCCCCTCTGACGTTGATACTAACACAGGCTTAATCGGCACATGGGTAAGCATGGAAAATAGAAACTAAGATATTTATACCAGAATAACTTCTATATATTCACCAAAAAAATGGGTGAAATTTCACCACAAAAGAACTTCTGTATGAATTTAAATTTCCAAGGGAAATAAAAATCTTATGATATAAACGATTTGTCACGATCAAGTAGGAAACCTAAGTCTGTAGCCAGTACCAATCTTATCATTTGTTTAATAAAGCACTCTACTTTTGATTTATTATGGCTATTTTTTTTTCTCATTTTATATCTCAAGATTCACCTAATTAAATTTTAGTTTAACATGGGCTATATTTCAAAAAGAGATTAAAAGATGAAACTCAAGATAAATGACTGTATAGTAAGGGGGAAGACAAAATATATTTGTCCTTTCCTCCATTATTTGCGGTGTTGCTTGCGTATTTTTTGTTTCCCATATTTCTAAATTTAGCAATCAAGTTTCTTCCAATCCCTTTTTTGTCCACATGTATGTGCGTATACCTTTTTTCCAGGGACTTCTAGTAATTTCTATCTTAACAAACAAGTCAGCACATACAAAAATAAAATCTTATTTTGGGCCCATGATGAAATTGACTTTACATAGAAATCCCATAACTATCTTATAGCACTATTAAAATGAATCAGAAACCACTAGCTTAGCTATAAATAATTAAGAGATATATGGTTCTGTAATAGGAGGCATATCAAAACAAGTAGTAGTTCATCCAAGCGGACACTGTGACATGCATCGCCACGTCCAAGCTTGACTACGCACAACTGTGCTACTCCTGCGTACATGGCAATATGTTTACTGATAAATCCCCCACATAAGTGGATTTATGGGGAAAGCCCAAGAAGGTAAGTTAAGGGCTTTAACTCCCAAATAAATTTTTTTTAGCATTAATATACTTTAAAAAAATAAAAAATAAAATTATATTTAAAAATAGTTTTTAGTTAAAATATTATAAAGACTATTAACTTTTTATTAATATTATAAATAATATTTAATGAACTGTAATTCTTAATCAATAAATAATAATTTCTTTATTTTATTATTTATTTTTATAAAATTAAAAATTAATCAATTTTAGTTAACATTCATTTTTTGCGGTCAATAGCAGTTAGAAATTATTTAGTTTGTTAGTTAGTTATTAAAATTTCTCTTTCTATATATATATATATATATATTATTTTTTTTTATGATCTATCCAATACAATACTAGAAATACGTTGTTTATAGATAGATATTTTTCATTTATCAAATGATATATTCGAAAATAGATTTTTATTTTTACTTTTTAGAAAAATCTGTCTATATTATAAATAAAAAATATTTATCTGTAAAATTTATTTGTAAATAGTCTGTCATTTAACGCGTAACATTACAGAAGTTAGAGACAACAAAATTTGTTTGTAATTTAAATTTGAAGCAGAAAATTTTAAGCGGTAATTATAGACAAAAAAAAAATTCATTTGTATTTTAGAAAAAAAATTCTAACCTTTTATATAGCTCATTACAAACAAACAAAATATGTTTGTAATTGTATTTAATGAA